TGGTACCCGACTTGGCTGGCAGGCCGAATCGTGGCCATTACCAGGCTGAAGTCATACCGAGTGGAGCTAGAGGACAGACGAATCAGGAGGAGGCACATTGATCAGCTCCAACACTGCCTGGGGATGCTGAACTGAGGAACCAGGGTGATTGGACCGCACCTGCCAGCTCAGATCTCCTGGAGAACTTCAGATCTCCACCTCACGGAGCATGCTCAACTGCCATCCGGGAAGCAGATGGGCAGGAACCGGCCCCACCAAGCCAAGAGATCGAGAGATGACCGTCCAACCCGAGCCGCAAACACGTAGCTGCGTCCGAAGCCATCCCGCGAAGAAATGGCATCTCATGAGTCGAAGGAACCAGGTCGGAGCTCGACTCACGGGCCGAGGAGCTCCAGAAGATTCCTTCCCAGGCAGCCGGAGCAACAGCAGGCTCGACCGCACTGGCCGAGCTCCCAGGGACAAGTGATCTATGCAGGTCAAGTAGGAGACCGGTGCGCCCCACCTACCTGAAAGACTATGTCACCTACTTAGGTGGGGGATTGGACATCGTTCATTCTAGGAGGGGAGGGGTGTTATGTACGGATGTACGTTGTTAAATTTACATGTTTTCACATGCTCATCGGAGATTGGCTGCTCAAACCCCGGGAAGTTTAAACTACTGTCATTGGCCGGCTGGTCTGCCGGAGCTCCTTAAAAGGCGAGCTCCAGCAATCCAGCCGCCAGAGCGCAGTCACTTACTCTTGCAATAAAAAGTGGTGAAACTCACTCGCGCCTCGCGCCTGCTGCTTCTCGCCGATCTAACAACTGGCATGGATTACAAATGGATCCCTGTTGCAGGGTTACTTGTACCTTTCTACTTTATGCAATGTTACTCCCATGCATAGAAACACTGTCTTGATCTTTGTCATTAGATTTTCTTAGGAGCTGCTTGTAACAATATGTTGCTGTGCTTTATTGCAGGTCTTCCTAAAACATTGCTTCCCAAGGCTGGTGTAGAAGTTCCCTCTCCTTCTCAAGAAAATGAGGGCGGATGGTGAAAATGTGATGCTAAGAAATGTTCTGGTTAGCCTCAACGTACTGCTGTTGGCGTCCATCTTCAGGCCCTTTGAATGCCACCTGGAAGTGACGACAGAGAGAGTTAAAAAACAGGTGACTGATGAAGAAGGCAGCTTTGCCAACTCCACATCCCCTATGAAAGAGCAACCCATGGTCTTCAGCCATATATACAACATTAATGTGCCTCTGGACAGCCTCTGCTCCTCATCTCTAGAGGCTTCATCTGACCCAGAGGTGAGTTCGGAAGATGACCGGATGACGGAATACACCGAGCAGACCTCAGACAGTGAGAGCCAGGTCACCTTCACCCACAAGATAAACCTCCCCAAACAGACTTGCAAGTGTGCCGCCTCCTCCCGGGACATACAGGAGCTGCTGAGCAGGATTGAGATGCTGGAAAGGGAGGTGTCTATACTCCGAGACCAATGCAACTCCAATTGCTGTCAAGAAAATGCAGCCACAGGTAGTAACTAATGCCATGAGGTCCTCCTAGCAGCTAAGAAATGTCAAAGGTGAAAGGATGAACTTGGAGTCATTTGCTTGAAGCTTTGAACACACCAAATACTCCATGCTGCTTCCAAATTTCAGAGTTTCACGTTTGGCAGTCTTGATATTCTTTTTAGCTTTACTCTTTATTAGTAGGATTAGGTTCATGTTTAATTTTTACTATGTCCAACTCTGTTTTCTTTCCTTACACTTTATTTTTTCTTTCTATAAAAATAATTGGTTCACTGACAAATGCGCGCTTGACAAAAGCACACCGACGAAACCACGGCGAGAAAACCGCATGGTCGAAATCGCATCGATGAATGCGTGCAGAAGCGCGCTGACAACAGCACGCTGACAACAGCGCACCGACAAAAGCGCGCCTTCAACAAACAACTAATAACAACCTAATAACCCTAACCCTAATCCTAACCCTAATACTAAACCTAATCCTAACCCTAAACGTAACACTAAACGTAACCCTAAACCTAACCCTGAACCTAACCCTTAACCTAACCCTAAACCTAACCCTGAACCTAACCCTT